TCCTGCACGGGGCTACTTTTTCACCTTTTTTCTGGCCCGACAAAATCCTGGTTCTATCTGGGCCAACAAACAGGGCTGAGTCGGGCTGAGTTTGCTAAACTAGAGAGCGAATCGCTGGCAAGGGGGCTACAACTACAACAAGATGAACATATTTTACCATGATTTAATTGTAATACACGTTTCAAAATAATGCCGAAGTAACAACATACTGATACCGGATAGTAAAAACCATGAATTAAGGCTTTGACAAGTCTGCAGACAGACGGCAGGCGAAAAACCTTTTTAAAATGCGTGTTTTCTAATGGAGATTTGGCTAAGCTAACGTTATATATGCTCCGACCGTCCACACTCACAACAACGGCCTATACAGACATAAATAAACCAGCGACTGTATTCGCCATGACACAGGCAGTCTGTGGTTTGTACTTGTTTAACTTTTGTCTAGTTTCTGAACAGATATGAAGAGCTGTGAGCTCTGAGTGCTAAGAGCTAACGGCTGTGTTGTTTTTCTGGGGCGCTCATTGAAGATGACGTCACGGCTCCGCCTACACTGCGTTACTATAGATACTACCCCAGTTCCTAAACTGTAATGGAAGTGCAGCATTAAAGTGAGCCGGGCCTAATAAGGCCTAACCAAACCGAGCGAGGCCGAGCGAGGCCTGCAGTGTAAATGCGCCATAAGCATCCTCGCTCAGGCCTCGGGCTGCCTTGCTGGCCGTCCGAGGCCGTGGCGCATTCCCATTACAGTTTAGGACCTGGGGTAGCAACTCAGTGTAGGCGGGGCAATCGGCTTTTTGGCGGGCTTTTTGGGCGGAGCGACGCTGGGTAAAACTGCAGTGGCGTCATCTTCAATGCGACACAACTCACGAAACACACACAACAATGGAGGATGTGGAAGCGATCGTTTACTTGTTTCTTGGTGTGTGGCTTGTTATCGCAGCACGAAGGAAAGTGATCACAGCAAGCAGGAAAGTGATGTTTCAAAGTAGGCTGCGTATAGCAAGACGAGATGCAGAAGAAGCTGATCTTGTGACGATTCTGTCTGACCAATCAGCAGTCGAGAGTGTTGACGTCACTAGTTCAGCCCTGGCCTTGGCCTGATAGAACCACGATTTTATGGGGCCGGAAAAAGAGGGAAAAAGTACCCGCTAGCCGGTGCTACGCTATACGGAAAGTCCACCAAAAACTGGCCTGGCCGCTTGAGGACGATTAAGGACGCTTAAACGGGGCTACCCGCTGCAGTGGAAATGCGCCATAATAAACATCTTATTTAATTTGTGAAAAAACTAACAAAATGCAGTTTTATAGAACATAAAAATGTTTCCAGTGAAAGACTCTCAATACAACCATAACTTTAAAAAAATGTATGCGGACTAGTCAAATAGGAAACAACATATACAGTATATATATATATTAATTATCTAATATATTTTATTGTATCTTTTAGTTTAACTTTGGACAGAACCATGCTAACTGTCCCCTCTGCTTCAAGTGATTATGCTAAGCTAGGCTAACTTTCCTCAACCTTTTTCAATAAAAACACTTTTCTCTGTGGATTTTCTTTCTCTGAAGCGTGTGCTTGTTTGAGCGGTATCATCACACTGAAGCAGTTCTTGCACAACACATTGCTGCCTGAAAAACAAGAAATAGTTAGAGAGAGGGAACAAGACCCAAAAATCAGCCCTCCTGAAATGTATCAAAGTGGAACTCTGTCAATAATCGCCTCCATACACACCAGTCCTGGATCAAATCACACGTTGAAATCCCTCCACACACTTTGTCCCAGTGATTGCTTTCATCTGTTGGACGTGAGCCGGACAGGTTGGCGTCTGCAGGGACAAACGGATCCAATCCATCCTGCCAGACACAATCGATAAACACATTTACTGGATGATTTTCAGGTAGCAGTCTGAGCCAGGCCTGGCACACACATGGGTACACGGGAAACACACAGTTATTACAAAGCGACATACTGACGTTTGCTCACACCTGGATGTAACCACGACGACCCGTGGTTCGGATAGTCCGCTCTTCTTCTCTTCTTGTTGTTGGTATTTTGACAAAGATGCCTGCTTTGCAATGTGCATTTTGTTGGTTTCTCTTTTTGCTAAGTTTCCTTCCGTACAAGTATTAAAAAAGAGAACCAAAAATATAAAACGAATGAGGCAGAGAGGACCTTTTGAACATTACTTCAAACATGCAGAATATTTGTAGGCAAACCATGGCGGCTTTAGCTCATGTAGACCTCCCCCTGTGGAGAGAAAAGTGGTGCCAAGGACCACTGAGTAATACAAATGGTGGAGGAATGACACAGAGATGCACAGAATCAGAATGAATTGAGACTCATTCTGACTGTATGCAGACCTCAGGCGCTGGATGTGATTGGTCCACTGCCGGCTTTGCTTTTTGACCTTGAAAGAGTAAAAAAAAGGGGGGAGGGGGGTTTACATTCAGATGTTTGCACTTTTGGCTGTCCTATGGCTGAAGGGAGATTGACCAAAATGAAATATTGATCACTGTGAGAAATCCACTTTGGTAAGATGACAGCTAGACTTGAAGGAAAACTCACTTTTTTAATTCGTTTTTTCATTTAAAGGAGAACTCCAGCAATGTAGCACTTCTCTTCCATAATGTTAAGAGACTAAAAAGAAACACATTAGGAAAAGATTGGACAAAATCGAAGCAGCAGAGGCGGAGAAATCAAGATTGTTAGTGTCAATCTGTAAAAAAACACTACAATTCCCACAATGCAACTCATCAGAATCTTTAATTTAACCTCTCTGCTGCTCCCAACATCTTCTAATTTGAAATGATAAATTATTGTAACACGAGGTAACCTAGTTGACATCACTATGACATCATCTGGGTCATTTATTTGTATCTCAAAACGCTTTACATTAAAATGCAGTGTAAAATTGGTGGAGTGGCCCTTTAAGACGTTACTTTTCTGAATGGATGTCCTTTACAACACGAACCAGTTAGCTCTATAAAACTAAACCTACAAAGCCAATCACTTTACACAAGTTATATCTTCTTTATTATCTGTTTTGATGCTAAATCCACACGATATGAAATCCTCTTCTAAAGGCAGTGTATTCGCAGATATTTCAGCCGACGGAGATGCGGAGGAATCACTCAGCGTGTCAGATGCCAATAAAATGTGGGAGAGGAGGGAGGGCGAGAAAATCGGTTGAAGAGCGTCTTTATGGAGTCAGGGTCTGTCTCTTAGCGTATTGACTTTCTGTCCGTTTCATGCCACAGATGAAATCTAAAGCTATTTGGTCTTTGAGTCACTCTGAACGGACTGTAAAGTGGACAGAGATCAGAGAGGTTGGTGACTATTGAATCAGGGGTCAAAGCCAGTGGCGGACCCGATGGGCCGGTACTGAAGTGGGCCGGTCGGACGATGTGGGCCGGTCGGATCAGTCACTAGCAACTAGGGCTGCTCAATTAATCGTATTTTAATCGCAATTACGATTATGGCTTGCAACGATTACGAAAACAACGTAATCAAAATAAAACGATTATTTTTTTATTAATAGCCTATAACTTTTTTTTTTTATTAACTTTTTTTTTTATTGGTTTTTCAGTTGAATTATACTTAAAGTTCAGGCTAATCAACTGTTAAAAACATACTGTTCAACATTTTTTTCTCCAATAAATTGATGTTTTCAATGTAAATGGATAATCGTTTTTAAAGTGATATCAATTATTGACCCAAATAATCGAGATTATGATTTTTGCCATAATCTAGCAACCCTAGCAACCCCCCACCCCCGTGACAATTTACCAGCGGTATTTACTTGCGGTACCAACGTGGGCTGCATGATCGGATAAGTCACTAGCACCCCCCACCCCTCCCCCGTTGACCCGAAGTGGGTCGGTCTAAAGTCCCGGGCTGATTTTTAGTCCCAGTCCGCCCCTGGTCAAAGCTGCAATTCTTGGAGATATTGGCAAGCTTTTTATCCTTAAAACCCATCATCGTACACCAGAGCTCATTGCCCAAAGCTTCTGTTTGTCCTCTTTGACTTCGACTGTTCGAGAAAATTCTGCCTGCCTGTTTTTATTGGTGAGAAAAGTGCAAGTCTACTGCTTTACCTTCAATAGAAAACCCTAATTTTCTAAAAAAGTAAATAGCCCGTAACTGCTTGTTCTTGTTCTTTGGCTAGGTGATCTGATTAGTAGGACATTTATAAGTGGCCAATTGTTGGATAGAATTGCAGGATAATCTCAATATGCTGAATTTGCATCATTAAATGTCATGGTTTTGGGGGAAATGAAAGTAAGGAAGATCTTGGAAAGTGACTTATGGTTGCTAATGAATGAAAGCAATGACAGTGGCTGAAAATCTAAATCTATATATATTTTATTCCTTTTAAGAATGACATCTGAGGAGCGTTTGTGCACCCTTACATTACAAACGATCACATTTTCCATTTTAGATTGCTCCCTTTTATTGTATTGATTGTTGTCAGTAGAAACCTTTAGATATTGGGACTCTAATTTATTCTCCGTGGTAAACAGAAGCAAAGAGCCCAACAGCTGTGTTGGACCGAAGGCCTGCGCCATGTTTTTTTTTATAGCTCTTTAAGACCCCTTGTTCAATCCAAGGTTTGACCACCAGATGGCGCTGTGACTCCACTACATTCCTTCTTCTCCGTCCTCTGTCACTGACTCCGACCGGCAGCCTGGAGATTGGTTCCTTCTTCGGAGAGAAATCACCGTTTCTGTCGGCTGAACAGTTTGATTATACATGCTTGAAAGGTTCATTCAGATATATTTTATTTTATGACTGTTGTAGTCAAAGCTTGACCGGCACAAAAATAGATTTTGGTTTAGTTTGCTTGGACTGCATCAGGACTGTGTGAAGGCTTTTGGTCGTGGTTTGACTCTGTAACCTCTGTCAGTGGGACTCCATCGAGGGCCTCTTGACTTCATGCCAGGTTAACTGTGAGAAAAAGCTCTTCACTGACTGCTTTCTTGTCAAACTTCTCTCCAATGGCTACCTTAGTCTCCACCAGAAGTGACTGCTTCAATCCTTCCCTTTATGCTATGAAAACCAACATTTTTTCACTTGATAGAAAAAGAAACACGTCGAAAATGTTGGCTTTCATCTTAAAGTTTCTCTCGTAATCTGACTTTGTTGAATGTATTGCACTTCAGTTTGAGGATAAGGCTCTATTAATCTAGTCCTTTCACAATAAAAATCCTCAGGTTTACAGCCAATCACAACGATGTCCGCTTCGTCTGAAACGTTGCTCGGCAGGTTTACAAAAGAATACTTTAAAAACGACAAAAGAAAACACGCATTCACACGCTGCTGGTGTCTTCTCTGGAGGCGGGACTATAGCTGATGACTGACAGCTCCTGCTCCACCTCTGTTTCGGTTTCCGGCTCCACCTCAGTTTCCGAGAGCATCCCGATGTTCTGGCATTCGGAGAGGCTCTGTGACACTATTCCGATTTGTGTCTCGTCGTCTGTAAAGTCCTCCGGGTCCACCGTCAGCCTCCCGTTGTCCCCCCGCCCGTTTCGACAGTTACTATTGCGGTCTATGCTTGTTTTACCGTCCCTCCCCATCAGGAGGGGGGTCACAGAGTGCGAGGGGCACTGAGGGGCGACCAGGAAGGTTTTACAGCTCTGTCCCGCTGCGTTGGCCCCCGCTTTGTAGCGACACCTGATGTAGCTGGAGAAGGCCCTCCTGTAGGTCTTATTGAAGAGGGTGTAGACCAGAGGGTTCACCCCCGAGGAGATGTAGCCCACCCACACGAAGACGTTGAGGAGGTCGTTGAGCAGCGACTCGTTGCAGGACCCCCGGCACAGCACGAAGGTGACGTTGGTGATGAAGAAGGGACACCACATGATGAGGAATAGGAAGAAGACGATTCCCAGGACCTAAAAATGGAAATAGGCAAAAGTACACACATCCTTTACTCAAGTAGGAGTACAGATACTCGTGTTTAAAAATACGAGAACAACCTGTTTCTAATTAATCACATGATTTAGTTCCTGGGAACACAGAGGGTCAATCTGTGTGTAGCAATATTCAAAAGAATGACTGCAAAATGCTTAAACACGTCATGGTCGGCCTCAAACCACCTGTGTCTGGCAAAAGTACACACCTCCTTTACTCAAGCAGAAGTACAGATGTTTGAAAATACTATGGTTAAAGTAGAAGTACTGGCTAAACTTCTTTACTCAAGTAGAAGTAAAGAAGTATGCGCTTCGAAATGTACTTAAAGGTCACCTATCATGCTATTTTTAGGCAATAGCATAGGTCTCAGATATATACAAACATATAAAAAACATGTCTATGAAGTGTTTTGCTCAAAATACCAAAACATATCACCCATTCTAGCCATGCCTCATATCCCTCTATTTCACTTCCTGTTTCAAAAGTGCTGATTTGGGGTTTAAAGCTTTAAAAAAAAAAAAGTATAACAAATAAAAAAGCAGGGGTCTGAGGTCATGCGGGACCCGGCAGCTACTTTCTAAACTAAATACTGCCGTGATGAAACGCCATATCATGGATTATCAAGGATTATTTCTGAAACAGTATGGAGCTCAAAGGCTTTCTCTCTTGCCGGTTATACCACAAGGTGAGTTCCTTTTTATTTCCTGCTTCTTCACACACATGCTCTCCAGTACAGGTTAGCTCTGAGTGTTAGCGATGCTAATGTAAACACCGACCATATTACGTCCAAAACAGTCGGGCGTTGTTTCTGATAGCAACGTTTCTGAAGGGCCGTGGGTCCACATTTCAGATATTACGTTATATCGGACGCAAATCTGGATCAGCTCCGTTGTTCCCCGTTTTTAGAGATTTGGGTACGGAGGAAAAGAGAGAGGGTTTTATTTTCTGACGCTGCGTGAGTTCCCTGACACACCGGGGACACATCTTTATGTATAAAAGACATCAAAAAGTGCATTTTGCATGATATCATTGAGTAAATGTACTTTCCACTTTTGCCTAAATGTCTAAATACTGATTTATTCCCGTCACAGTTTACAGCCGCGCTTTGATTCCTGTCATTTCCTCATTCATTGTAAACAGCAGGGGATTTCAAATGACTTCCTCACATTAAAGGATTACAAGAAAGGGCTGAGGAAAAAACAGGAATACAAAAAAAAGGATAAATAAATGTTAAAATAATAAATAAATATAAAATAATGAAAAAAGAGAGAAAGCTGAAAAAAAAATGTTTTTAATGAAAACAATAAAAAATTAAAAAGTGAAATTGAAAAAATGTAAATGATTAAAATACTTAAAAATAAATATGTAATGTTAAAATTAATAAATAATGAAAACATTTAAATATAACTAAATTAAAAAGTCAAAAATATGGAAAATTACAAAAAAGTGAAAAAGAGAAAAAGAGAAAAAAAGAAAAAAAGTGAAAAAGTGAAAAAAATATAAATTGTAAAGACAACTAAATATTTAATAATAAAACAAAAGAAAGGATCTTCCTCACATCAAAGTTACGACAAAGCAGGGCTCAGAACAAACAAACAAACAAACAAACACCTCTCCCCCCAGGTGTTCAGTGCTCTGTGAACTTCTCGGAGCCCGAGGGCTACATCGACTCCTCTGACGACCCCCCCCTCCCCGACGGAGACTTCCTGCAGTGCACCTACACCGTCACCGTCTACACCGGGTACGGAGTGGAGCTGCAGGTACACACACGCACGCACACACACACGCACACACACACACACACACACACACGCACGCGCACGCACGCACACACACACACACACACACACACGCACA